TTTCGAGGTTGACAACGAAAGGATGTGCTGACTGGGCTTGTCTAGTTCGTCTGACTGGTATTGCTAGTGAAGGGATGATAGCAGAGATTTCCGCAGCACATTTCCCGTGGAAGTATCGATAGAAAAGTGAAAGGTCGCCGGCCTTTCTACGGTGTTTCAATGATGTCAAAGAGTGAGTGAGTGTGGCGTCACCCACCAGGCGGATGGCTCTTCTCTGGATGGAATCTAAGAGCATCAGCGTAAGTTTTGGTGCTGAACCCCATATGTGGGAACAGTATCCTAGAACAGGCCGTATCTGCGCTTTGTAGATCATGAGAAGCTGTTGAGGTGTAAAGTAGCTTTTCGCACGGAACAAGAATCCGAGTTTTTGTGAAGCAGCTTTTGCGATGGATCTGACACGAGTTCTGACATGATTATCCCATGAAAGAGTTTTGCTGATGGAAATTCCGAGCATAGATATGGTGGGCTTGGTGGAGATGGTGGTGCCAGACATTACAGTGTCGGGCATACTGAGTTTCGCCTTTCTAGAGAAAATACAGGCTTGAGTTTTGGTGGCGTTGAATTCAACTAGGTTGTTGGTTCTGTTAATAACGGATTTTGAATGGACCCAAATAGGAAATTGGTTGGGTACCAAACGAGGTGCCAAGTCCGGGGAGCGTGCTGGCCATTTTAGTGGTCCTTCGACCTATCAATTCGTTTGAGAGATTTTGGAATAGCCATTCTTTCATAGACCACGATGATGATGATAATCCAAATCTATTGGCAGATAATGATTATTATTTTCAACAAGATAGTGCACCACCTCATTTCGTATTACAGATGGAAGAATGACTATGCCAAAATTTCCCAAACAAATGGATAGGTCGTAGATGACCAACAACGATACGAACAATTGTGATGATGAAGAGTCAGCTATAGTATTCCAGAACGTCAAACAGGGTGTTTTATATTCACGTTTACTTTCTTGAACAACAGTCACTCAACAGAAAAAAAAATCACAAAAATCTGAAGGAATGAATACCTATCCAAACTTTGTTAATGTAATGAATCTTTCAGGGGCTCAATCTTTGGAGACTAGTTTAGGCAGACCCCATACTTTGATGGTTCCGAGATTCAGAATCTATATACCGTCGAAAACATGATCGATTTCGAATTGGAGCAACCACAAAATTTTCCTTATATTGTCCATCACATCAATTTTATTTTCCAACGAAATCTCATCGAACCATATACCACTTTTATTCGATGTTGTCCAATAAAAATGGTTTTATTACCTAGCCCGAAGGCATTAATAGATGCAGCATAATATATCGATATATATTACAGTATATCTTCATTCCATTGGCCGACTTACAACCATAACAAATATCCCAATAGAGTTCCAGTTCGATTTTAACAGGTCATTGTGAATCATTTCCGACCTTTATCAACCGGAATACTTGTCTCAGGAAAATTCATAACGGACGTGCTATCCAGGTAGCACAGGTTATTAAAATAACGTCATAATGACGTCTTTTTTAGTTCATTATTGTTCCATGACGTTTTCGACTTCCGAGAGACCTAAACATGACGTCGTGTCGCAACAAAGTCAACTTTTTGTCATTCGTAAACTAAACTTATTGAGCTCTCCTAATATTTTCAACAGAGTGTGTAATAAAATCTGAATCCCCTTCATTACCATCTTTCGAGTGTACAAAAGTGAAAAAAAAAATAATATTATCACTCCCACATTCATTGATTTACACATAAAAAATAAATTTGGGAATCTAATCTACGGGGTGAGTAAATAGTGTGTCCTTCTTCGATATTAGCTAAACCAAGCCAAACAGTCAGATATACACTCGGATATACAGGAAGAATCCGTAATGCCATATCATGTCCAAATCCCGTATTTCCAAACTCGATTTCATATTAGGAAGATCTCCTATATCTAAACAGTGAGTAACATATAATATAATATAGTTTCTTATACAAAAGACACTTTCGAATGAGGTGCTTTTTTGTATATGTCACCATTCCAAAATAAATGACAGTCGTTCAAGACGTCTTCGTAGTATTTATTCACCAGGCACGCCCGATGTTCTTCGAACATCATGAGCATTCCCTTTCGTGCGCTCCAAAGGATAAAAAAAATTGAACTATCAATATGCCGACACAATGGCTCAGTCAGCTTGTACATTTATCAGCCTATTTCCATGAGATAACGAATGACCGATTTTCATTTATTTTCCTCTTTTTCATCGCATCATTATATTATAATATAATAATATCTCAAAAACGAAGCGTTTGAAAGTATATGTTCATAAGAAGTTTTTTAATTATTTCAACGAGTACTTACTATACGCCGTTGAATTTTCCGTATTAAAAAACGGACCACCCTGTATATCAAATGTTCACTCATCTTTGAAGGAATTTTCTTCGGATTTCAGTGTTGATAATTCTCAGTGACAGATGTTGATATACAATCAAATGAGTCAATGAGTTACAGTTTGATTTTATGTTTAGATTTTAGAGATGAAAACCATGTTGTATCTATATCAACTGCAATGGAAGCAATATTGTATCTGTTCAGAAGAATGCAAGTGGATTCCTTGGTTTTCCTCTTCTGATGATTATTATCTTCTTTTCCTATGATTTCCATATTATTCCACTCTGCCATACGTTGTCAAATGAGGATGTGTTCAGCTACTTTCGATTTGTCGGTATATTTAGCTGCTCGTTATTTTGTACTCAACTCCTATACATTCATAAAATTTCATTGTTGGAACGGTTCACCAAATTGAAAACAAACAAAATGCACCACAACGAAAACAATCATCAATTATGACAAATGAAATCGATAAACATTCCTGGCATATCTGAAAAAATAAATCGTTTTGGTAATAAGTTTCTATAATGAGAACTGTGTTCAAAACTAAAAATAAAATGGGATCGTTCCTAATTCAAACAAAGCCGAGCAATGAAGAACAATTATCACAGCACTGTATTCACAGTATACCTTATTGTATATATATATGGAAAGTATTGTATGTGAAACAAAGACGCCTTCCTCAGTTAGGCCGAAACTCGGGACGAAAGAACACAAAAGTACAATATGAGGAAATGAAGACATACCTACAGATCAAAACTAACTGAACATATTCCTACTGGAAATGTACAACATAATATGGCAGAGTGGAATAATAGTAAAATAGGCAACAATACACAACCAAAAGAGGAAAATCAAGGAATCCGCTTGCATTGCTCTAAACGGAGATAGTGGCAATAGCATTGCGTCTTGTTCAAATGGTATAGATAGGCAGTTTTCACTACTGAATTATGAACATGAACATGGAGAACTTAATAATAATTGGGTGATATTTTGGGGCGTATCATTAGATAATCCTGAAAAAACTGAAAAAATGAGTTTATAATCTCCTCGATTAAACTACAAGCAGTATTCAATAAATACCCATTCATCCCTTTTTTGGTTGTTTCGTATTGTAGTAAGCATTGAAGGAGGATGCAAAATCCAGATTTTATATTTCCACACTTCATTCAACATGATCTCGAACCATGAAAATACTTTCCATATTTTCGCTACCTACCCAGATAGCACAAGTATGTCTTATGGACATACGTATCGGATATTTGGGACGACCCAAAGACGTCCATTATTATTACGACGGACGTCCATAGGACATACGATGGTACAAAACCAGAGGTACATAGAACGTCCAATTTTGGCCCGTTTCAGGTCTGAACTGGACCACTTTGGGACTTGAATCGAACATATAAAGGAGGTCAAAAATATGTTATCTTCAATGTCTTAGGTGCCGAAGGTAATTATTTCCAACAGCAAGTGGAGCACAAAATTGGTTTTAAAATGAAACATTTTTTGTTTTACTGAATAATCGACAATATAGAAGTTTCATGGAAAATTATGAGCAAATAAACAGCTTGTGGCATTTCTTATGACACCAAATTTTGAGTTTCACTCTATATATTTTAGTTGTGTTGGGGGCATTCTGAATTATATATGTGAATTTCATAATAAAAAGCATTAATAGGAGGCAAAATTCTTCAATTATTATTTTCATTCATCAATGATTACAGGTATATTCAACAATAACGAAAATGAAATAAGAAAATTAATTTTCGACGTACCTATTTCAAAGTTAGGAATATGTTGGGATAGGTACACTTAACCTGGAAAATTCACTTTCACTTGCACTCAGTGTAATAAATCTAATTGAATAACAACCCACCATTATTAGTATCACTGAGATAACAGCCTTGATAACATCCACAACAGCTCATTGCTTGTTTTTTGATGTTTTCTAGTTAGACATATCTTGGGATACACTTAACCTACAAAAATCACCTTCACTCACGTCTAATGAATGTAATCGAAAAACTACCCACTATGAGTATTACTGAGATAACAGTCATGATATTATCTGGGTTGGAACAATTGGAACAAATATAAATAATACCATGAAAACACCAATTATCCAATAATTATACACAAGCACACTCCACACTGCACCACAGAAAATCGTGAACAGCGAATGGGCCTCGGCAAAATGGCAGTCGATAACGGGATTCAGGAAGGGAAAAAATTATGTTTCATCCTACATGATCTAGCAAATTTAGATATGAGTATGTATCCATTTGAATTATTATGACGAAAAATCATAGAATCTGCGAGATCAATAATAATTAACGCAATATAATTGAATTGATGATATAAATTTTGATGTCGACCTGGAATGTACGTCTCCAGGACGTCCGCGTCGTACGTCCTTGAAACGTTTGGCGTCATACGTCCTCAGGACGTCCAAATTAGAGTCTGGGACGTTCGGCCATGAAAATGATATGAAATGGACGTTCTCGCGACGTCCTTTGCTATCTGGGTACCTACCTACCTACAAACCAACTTCCAATCTAACGACTGGCCTTCTGCGATCATCCTTCGAGCTGCAAAGCGCACTTGATTAATCGGCGGTCGTTTGCAGGACATGAAAGGAGGGTGGGCATCCTCTGCGGGGAGCAACGGCGCGCCCAATCCTCCCACCCTGTTGGCAGTCCAACCCTTGATGACGCAACCCAGCACGCCCGTGCCGGTCTCGATACACCCTGTACAACAACAGCAGCCTGCCGCGGCAGCGCCGGCCGTCGTTTGTTCTGCCCAACCGAAGCAGGACACGTCCAGTAAGTATAACAATTATTTCCTACTATACGAAATGGACCTCAACGGAATGAATATATTTTTTGATTGTTTGAAATGTAGTTTGTCTATGGATTGACTACTTCTCTCTTTACATCTCTAGGAACTCCAGGCATCACGCTGTTGCCAGAGCCACAAAATAATTTGGTTTCAAATATTATCTCGATCTAGGAATGATAGGATATTTTCATTGACACTGAAGCATCTTACATTGTTACACTTCGTTTTTGCCTAACGAAAATACTGCACTGATAGCACATCGAAATTGTTTTGTTTACGTACTTTTGTCTCAATTCTTCATTTGTTCATGGGTGTATTATTTATCATTTGCCATTGATATTATCTTTTTGCAATCTCAAATAGTTTTATACAGTCTATTGCCGTGATTTATTATTTTATTTAGCTCCTGAAAACGAAATAGTTTATCGGGTCCCAAGACAAGGTTTGTTGTCGTTGCTTACCGTAGTTCACGATTCTGGTTTCGAATATTTATTCACGCTGTTGTTTTTGTGGGATGATAGCCAGTCTTCTTCGATATGTTCGAGCGCACGGATATTCAACAGTTTAGCGAGGATCATTTCACTATTTTAGTTATCAGTCGATTTATCATATTGTGCTCGTTGTTTACATTTTCAGTCAATAATATTGAGCGAGGTATCACTGTCAGAATCTTTATCACTGTCAGATTGTTGACTACTGACAGTTGACCGATATTTGCGAGCTGCTCTGCTTTATTTTGAAAGACAATGTCATTATTTTTATGATTCTCCGTACTTTTAGCAGTTGCTAACATCTGTCATTGACAGCAGTTCATTTTTCATCGATTTTTGAATGGCCCTCAAAATTGATTGATTATGGAAGGACTAAGCTCAGCATGATGCCGGGATTTTTGTCAAAATAGTGATTTGTTGTTAAATCGGATAGTAGGTGTGACAACCCTAGTGTTTATGTCTCGTTCGATGAAGTCGAGCATCCATCGAAAAAGAAGAAGATTGCGTCATGGGTCGACGTAGTTCCGAGGTCATGTCTGCGCATGTCTCCGTTTGAATATTGTGGTCGTGGCAAAACGGCTTTAACCGCCGAAAAATCAATTTCCACGAAAACTAAATGGAAAATGGTTAACATTCACTAATATCGGGTAAATTAGGTATTTGCTTGTTGGAGCTAGGATATTCTCTCATCTTTCTGTGGTGGTGAAATACCATCTACAGTGTGTTCGCGGGAAAATCTCCCACCAACACTTTCCTGAGGTATGGGGCGTTTTTGAGATAAAGACCGATCTTCCGGTTGAAGGACGGCCCATCATCTTCACGAGATATCTCGCCATTTTTCCTGGAGAAGGTTGATCCAACTCGTGTGACAAGTAAGCCAGAGATTCGATTTCGCATTGTACATATTTTGATTTATTCTTTCTCCATTAGTGTTGGGATTAATTCGATTCGAATTCTCATTTCGTGGTGACCAATTTTGGTTTTGGTACCATACCTCAAATTGGAGGGATTTAAGGCCGAAAGCCACGAGGCTGACATCAGCCGATCAAGAACCCGACCACCATCACATCAGGTATGGAATTTAGTCTTGATTATTTTTCGAGTGGCACACAACCATTTTCTTTTTTTTATCGTTTAGGGTTCTTATTCTCCTGGAATTATCTCCTGGCTTCCGATCTGCGTCATCCACCGGTTTGGCCTTTTTTTTTTTTGCAAGCCCCAAAGAAGAGCCTGCTGATGAACAAGCAACCCTAAGAATCCCCTGTATAGTTGCTGAGGAGTAAACAGCTCTTCGAGTCCACCCTGTTTGGACCCTGTATGGATCCGGTATGCACCCTGTAGCGTCACTCTCTGTCCTGTACGCTCAACACCCTGTATATGATCGACGTGGCCGCCTACACCCTGTACTCGACAGCTAGACACCACCGAGGAACATAATCGCCTGTCACCTTCAATTTTGGTGAGTCTGTTCCATATTAGTACCCGTTTGGAAGTGGAAAACTACCACCAAATACCGCTACCACTTAGAAGGGTTGAAAATTACCGTTTATGCTGAGTTATAAGTAAAATACCCCAAATTGTACCATTTATTAGTATTATCAAGTCATTCATATATTGGAAACCAACGTGCACTGCGGTATTGCTTTATCACCTTGTCTATATATATCTGTTATTCCCATTTTTGTTATAAATTGATTATAAGGGATGTACTGAAGAGTTGATTTCAGACAGTCTCTAGTTGTGATATAAAATATTGCTAATGGATGGTTTTCATTGAGATCAAGGCAAAGTTCTAGTGGAATTTGTATTTTTCAAGTTTTATTATTATTAAATCTATATATTCACCCTACTTCTGGCATTTAACGTACCCACCCCATTGTCCCGCTGAACTACCAGTGTTTGGTTTCTACAGTCTCAAACTAGGCACTTAAAACACTTATTTTGTAGCAAAACTTTTGAGAATTAAAACACCAAGTAAATCTCAGGCAGGTTAACAGCCAACTCAGGGGTAGAATCATAACTAAATTTTATCACTTATTACCCCCTGAAATTTGCAAGGTTACAATGGCGCCCAACTCATTTATTTCAGTGGGATCATAGGGTGAATATGTGATAAGGGTATTTGGCTATTCATTGATATAATTGGTGGTAGTTTTAAATTTTTTCATTCTCAGTGCAGATACAAGTTGCATCTCATCTTGCATTGTTGTGGTACATTTCCATATAATATATTGATCTGGTACAGTTGCAGAAAAATATATTTTTTCTATTCCTCATATATAGCGGTTACAGGGTGTTCACAAATTAAATAAAAATTAATATTTTTATAGTACAACTTGAACTTTGTCAAAGGCAGACTGTGTTAATAGAGTGTTGATGTGTTTGCTTTCAAGTTTATTTTTTTTATAATAAAGTTCAAAGAATTTTTGAATATTGAGAGATATTTGTTATTCTTGGTGATCCAAGGTGAATGTAGTGCTTTTAAGTTTACAATTCTTGTTTGAATCCAATTGGAATTAGAATAATTCCTCATATTTCTTACTTTTCATTTGTTTTGCTCTCTTAAACACTTCCTCATCACTATCTATTGACAATGTTCTAGTTCAACCATTGAATTATTCAATTATACAGAGTGAGTATATTTTGCAGGATTTTTTTTTCTGAAAGTTCAGATACTTATGAGATTTTTTTTTGTTCTTCCACTGTGAGATTATATCAGAATTTAACAGGCTGATTCTGATGAGTTGCAGTTCATGAATTTTGGGGATATTTTTTGGAACTTTTAATACAGGGTGTATATTTTGCAGAAATTGTTTTTAGATGTTCATATACTTATTGTTTATACAGGGTGGGCAAGGTTAGCAAAAAAAAAAACAACATTTTTTTTTTCAAATTGGATAATATAGTCAACGTTCATATCAGAATTATACAGGGTGATTCTGATAAATGGATATTTGAAATTTTAACTAAGTATATTTCTGAAAATTTCATACAAGGTGAGATATAGTATACTTTTTACATAATATTATATACCGTATGATTTTCGATATTGATATTATAAATATTTACAGGGTGATCAAGGTTTGCTAATATTTTTTTATGGGTTTAGTATAAAAGTAAATAAACATCATACGGGGTGGTTCTGATTAGTCGAACCATTCGCACTGTATTATTGTTTTCTTGTTTTGAAAAATTTACAGGGTGAAATAATTTGAAAAAAAAAAAATTCACAGGTGAAAAACGAATTTTTTTTTCTACGCAACTTTTTTTCAATACCTACTACAGGGTGATCAATTTTGAAGGACGACAATATTTATTGAAGATTATTCCGATTTCGTGGTTTACTAAACTTTGTACTTAAATGAACATTTGTATTTTATATTGTAGGTATATAAATTTGGTTTTCGATTATTGTTGTGTACAGGGTGTAGCGGACCTGTTGCCATTAGATTTTGGGGGTATATATTTTTTTTTCTCTTCTCCGGGAAGGGAGGGGGTATGTAAACTACAGTTTACATGTGCAAATTGTTTTTTTTCCCTATCGTTAAATCGTTTTGGACTTCGTCGATAAATTCAAACATTTTTTTTCCCATCGATATTATTCGATTTTCTCTCTACGATAAAATTGCTAGTGTGCAAATTTTTTTTTTTCCCATCGATTCAATTCGATTTTCACTTCGTCGATACAATTGCCTAGTGTGCAAAAATATTTTTTTTTTCCCATCGATTAATTCGATTTTCACTTCGTCGATAAAATTGACTAGTGTGCAAATATTTTCTGAATTTATTATATTGTTATAACCGAAAAATTTTGGGATCAATATGGAGATCAATAGGTTACGAAGCGATGAGCTTACTTATGAATTATTGCTACGTGGTTCAGGCCTAGGTAATGGTACGGTACAAGAAAAACGCGCTTTATTGAGAACTGCTTTACAGGCTGAGCAGGAAGGTACTTCACAACCATCCACAATTCATTTTGACCCTAAAAATGAAATATTGATATGTCATAATAAAATCACGGAATTGTTAGGGAGTATTCAAACATTTGAGGATAGTAATTTTGAAAATGAGTACCAGAAAATCAATTCAAGGCTAATTCATGTCATGAATCGAATTAACCGACTTCCAGCGAAAGAACCTGAGGATGAAATTGAAAGATTAAAGTTGACTGTTTTGGCTGGTGATTTGAAACTTGCTCTAGATTGCGCGTACAGGTCTGCTAGTAGAAAAACAGGTAATAATACTGTTTCCGCGAATAATACCCCTCCCAATGCTAGTGCAACAAGTAACTCTTTTGTGGACGATCTTATAATATTCAATGAAGCAGAAGATCATGTTAATAGCTTTAGTAGAAATAATATTCCTGATGCACAGACTTCTGCCACGAAGCAAGAAGTTCCTAATTTGAAAATTCCCCCCAAAACAAATAACGATATTGATGTTACAATTTTAACAAACAGGATCTCAGAGTTAATGCGGGACATGCATGT